AGACCCCAGATGCTATATCTTTTGATTGCCAGGTACCATCAGCTTTCTTCGCCACATTTGCTTATGCACCCATTTGTCTTTAGCGATGGTATCAGGGAGGTGAGCACACAAAGATATGATTTTTGGTTCTTTGATGGCTGATAACTGATCTCCTCTGCACCTCATGATCACGCAGGCTGGTGTGCTTCTTCCATGTGGGCTTTGTTGCTTCTGAGCTAGATGGCCGCTTGTTTACCTTCAAGCCTTTTAAAGAGGTCTTGTGCAGGAGATTTAATTTACCCAAATGCCTTGCTTCATTTGATCTCCTGACTGCTACTTCCATGAGCGTTGATTATGGATTCAAGCAAGATACTTGACAATGTCGATCTTTTCTTTGAACCCATCATTCTTCCATGCGCCTTGGTAACTTTATGATTAAAAGGAAATATCAGCGTCTCCTCTGACATCCACTTTGACCTTTTCTTTCTTCTTAATGGCTTTTTGCTTCCTTCATGTATGATGTTCTTGATGTCATCCACAGTTCAGCAGGTCTTCTGTCAGACATTAGTGTTTAATGCGTCAAGTCTGTTCTTGGAATGTTCTAGAAATTTGGGTGGAATAGACTCAAGGTCTGAAGTCTTAGTTCTCGGGGACCTGTTTCATTCCCTTCAACTTCAACCTTTACTTACATATGAACAATGGGTGATCTCTTCCACAGTTGGCCCTTGGTCTGAATTTAGCTGCTGATATTGAGCTTCTCCACCATCTCTTCCCAAAGATGTCATCAATTTGATTTCAGTGAATTCCATCTGAAGAAGGCTAGCTTTGTTTCTATCATTATCAAAAAGGACATTTCAAGATCTGGAAGTAAGATACTGTCTGTGATAAGATAATATCTATCCGCATACATGGAAATCCAGTCAATAACAACTATTATTCAAAATTATGCACCAACCACTAAAGCTAATGATGCAGAAATTGAAGAATTCTGAAACTGATCAAATATGCAATCAAACAGCACTGGTCAACACATATTTTGGTGCCTCAAATGATAGACTTGTTTCTGGAGGGCTGAGGCCTTGCTGAACCCCTCAGTTCTCCATGGGTCTGTCAACCTGCTTTTCTGATGAGCAATGGTTTCCCATGCTTTGTGTAAGAGAGACGATGAAGTCCTGGTAGGTCATATTTATACAATTCCAATGCCAAGAATTAGGATTTTTGCCCTGGAAATTAGTACGATGGCACTGGAGAAGCTTAGAAGGCTTGGTGCATTTGCTTTCCTAGCAAAGATAAAGGGATATAATGGGATCTTGGGAACCCCTGCCTGATTCATAAGGAATTCACGAATACTTTGTCTCTCTCATCCTGGCTCCATCTCAATGGCTGTCTAAACTATTCTAATTCCATAATCACAAGGTGGGTGGATTTTTTTTTTTTTTAATCTCAGTCCTGGAGTCTAGGGGTCCAAGATTAGGGCATCAGCTGTGTCGATTTCTCCTGATGCTCTGAAGTGCAGAATCTGCTCTATGCTTCCCTGCCAGTTTCTGGTGATTCTTGGCTTATAGACATCATCACATGGTTGTCCTTTCTCTGTCTGTCGATTTCTCCTCTCCACTTTTTATAAGATTAGGACCTACCCTACTTCCATATGGCCCCATGTTAAATGATGAGATCTTCAAAGAGCCTATATCCGAAACAAGGTAGCTATCTTAGTTGGCTAGTGGTGCTCTAACAGAAATGCCACACTTGAGGGCTTTAACACACAGAAATTTGCATTGCTCACGGTGTAGGGGCTAAATTCTGAATTCGAGGTACTGGCTCTGAGGAGGGTTGTCTGCCTGTGTTGCTTCTGTGGGGTCCTTGTCTTTTTTCAGCTTCTGGTCCCCAGTTAGTTGGCTACCCGCCTGTGGCTTTGCATCTAACAGCCCTGCCGGGGCTTCTTTGCTTTTGTGGCACCACTTAAAAGCGAGTGGTTTAAGACAGAGCCTTCAGTGACATAACAAGGAAAACCCCATCCGCGAGAGGATTACATCTACAAGGGGAGGGGGCTGAGATTTACAGCACACATTTTTGGAGACACAATACCCGTCACATTCAGAAGTGTGGGAGTTAGGATGGCACCGTATCTTTTAAGGGACACAATTCAATCCCTAACAGTCGGTCAGTACCCCACCTGAGATGGGCAAGAAAGCACAGGAATCACTCCAGGTCACAGGCCGTTTACTTTCAAAAGAGCCAGGGCACCTTTCCGTGGTGGCACTGTCTCCTGGGCTCCTCCCTTCCCCTTTCCTACTCGCCTGCTGGCTCGCTAGGAATAGGCCGATGGTTCGGGGCTGTAGGGTGTATCCTGCAGAAAGCAGATGTTGGAGAGCGGACAGACCAGAGAGCCGGTGGGGGGAGAGGGACAACCGTTCTGGAAGGAAATACCTGGGAGAGATGACCAAACTGCTCTAAGACATGGATGGGGAGGGACGAGGGTGGGGGGTGGCGGTGACACACTTTGGGAGGTGTGAAAGATGATGGTGTAGGAAGGAAGGTTCTGAGAGCTCTGATACTAACTCCTCCATTTCTCTCATAGGATATGAATCGTCCACTTGACAAGTATGTGGTCACTTATGATTCCCTAGAGGCTGTGGTGGGGGCATGGGAGGGCCCCTGGTAGAGCCAGAGAGGGCAATGAGAACTGTGTGCTTTGGAGGATAAAGAACCTGGTGACACGATACCCAGAGACCATCCCCTTCGGGCTGAAGACAGTGTGCAGGGTTCCTGGGGAAATAGAGGTGCTCAAGTGTTTCCAAGGTAAGTGGGGCCCAGGGTTGGGATTGGACAACACCCTATCCTGCCTCCAGCCCTTAGACACTAACCACCACAGAGGGCCGTAGCTCCCCATGAGTAGAACTTGTCCCACGCCTCAAACATCACTGTCAAAAGTTTGTATCCTGGGAGAAGTTCACTTGCCCATTAGTAAAGATGAGGCTTACTGAGTTGCCCAAATGGTCCCTCCCCTGCCCCTATTGTCTTATCAACACAGTGTCCACGGTTGGGTGAGGGGATCATTAAGGACCCACAGGCTCAGCTATGTGGGGGCAGAGTAAAATCTATGGTGCAGATGACCCACGTGACATACTCCCCCAAATGAGGGCTCCATTTTTAAGGAAAAGACTGAATTCTCAGTCTTCAGGCTTGACTCCTGAAGGAGAGTGAGGGAGATTTAGGATAGAGCTCTGCCCCATATTTTCCTGCCAACCACCTCCCATTGCTAGGATTCTCCTCATTGTACCCATGAGGGCAGCCCTCCCAATTTCAACCCCAAATGGCTCTGGTTCCCTCTGGCCCCCTGCTCCTGTAGTGGATGTGATGCCTGATGCTGCCACGGCATACCCCTACCTCCTCCTGTACGAGAGCCGGCAAAGGTGCTACCTCAACTCCCCGGTGGACAGCACGCTCCACAGCACGGACAGGTTCCTCGCCTACCCCTGCATGGTGGGCCAGACGGCCTTCTCCGAGGGGAGACACTACTGGGAGGTGGGCATGAACCTCACTGGAGATGCGCTCTGGGCTCTGGGCGTGTGCAGAGACAACATCAGCCGGAAGGATCGCGTCCCCAAGTCCCCCGAGAATGGATTCTGGGTTATGCAGCTGTCCAAGGGGCAAAAATACTTACCCATCATCGGGGATACTACCCCTTTCACACTGATGGAGCCCCCTAGCCACGTGGGGGTCTTCTTGGACTATGAAGCTGGGGATGTTTCCTTCTACAATGTGAACAATGGCTCACACCTGCACACTTACTCCCAGGCTGAGTTCTCAGGCCCCCTCCAGCCTTTTTTCTGCCTCGGGGCTCCTAAATCAGGCCAGATGGTAATCTCCACAGTGACTGCGTGGGTGAAGGGGTAGAAACCAAAGCAGGGAGGCCAGCTAAGGATGCTCCCATTTTTAAGAAAGTGGGCGCCTTCTGCTCACCCCCAGGGCCCACAGCCAAGGCTCACCAAGGATTGCAGAGTGCCATTAGCTGTTGAGGGCTCCTGTTTACAAAGTCAAAATAGAATCCTGATTAAAGCAGTAAAACATTCAAAAACCGTACTTCCAGATGCTTCATCAAACTTTGAAAGAACTCCCTTAAATTTTATTACACAGGCAGGCATGTTGCTGTTAGCTTCAGTGAGTGGGCCTAACTCATGAGGACCCTCTGCACGACATCCCATAATGCTGCCCGGTTCTGTGCCAGCCCCTCAATCAGCTGCAGATCAGACCATTGTGATCCATAGTTTTCGTTGGCTGGTTTTTGGAAGTAGATTGTCAAGCCTTCCATTCTAGTCTGCTTTAGTATGGCGGTCTGCGGAAGCCTGTTTAGTATCACAACACACTAGCCTCCACCGACAGACAGGTGATGGCTAAGCATGCAAGTGTCCTGGGTCTCCCCCACAATGGGGGTGGGGAGTGGGGAGGTCAGGGGCGCGAGAATTCTACTGAACAACCACTGCCTCATTATATATTAGTATTTTACTACTGAACCACCATTGACACACACACGTTAAGTACCTCAAGTTGGTTCCAACTCACAGCACCCCCATGTACAACAAAATGAAATGTCGCTGGGGCCTGTACCAGCCTCATAATTGTTTCTGTGTTTGAGCCGCTGTGTGAGTCCCTCTCTTTGAAGGTATTCCTGTTTTTCACGGCCCCTCTACTTTAGGAAGGCTGAGATCCTTCTCTTGGGACTGGTTCCTATGGATAACAAGTACAGAGTCCATGAGACTAAGTCCCCTCATCTTTGCTTAAGAAGCATTCTGGCTGTACCTCGACAATTTGTTCATGCTTCCGGAAGCTCATGATGTGTTCAGTAATCTTTGCAAATACCATAATTCAAATGTATCAGTTCTTTAGTCTAATTAATTGTCTAGCATTTGCATGACTATGAGGCAGTACAACAAACTGACAGATGTGGGCATATATATTATGTACATATATAAACATGTTTAACCTATGAGGCATAGTTTGAGCTCGTTTTTATTTAGCATGCTTCATTCACACTTAAGAACTTCTCATAAATTTGTTTTGGCTCTGCATTTAGTTTAAATGACACTTTAGAGGGATGTTCTCTGGTATCTATTACATTCTTTGTGAAATAAAGCCTGTCCTTCATTCTAAGGTCTAGGTGCTTCTCTGGGAGTAAAATGACAGCTGGCATCCCTTCAAGCTGAACCACGAGAAGCTCCAGAGTTTGTCACACACATCACATTTTGCCTCGTAAAGCTGCACATGTGCAGGAAAAGAAATGGAGAGACAAAGAGGTCTGTTCCCCTGCGGGAGGGGAGAGAAGGTTCACTTGTGGGATTTCCCTTTCCTTCTTCAAAACACTTCCGTTTCCTTTTCCCAACAGTTTTATTGGCATACAACTCACACATTATACAACTGAACAGTTCACTCACATCGAGAAGTGCTGTCCAATCATCGCCACAATCCGTTTTAGAACATTTTCTTCATTCTTAAAGTCATTGTTAGCTCCCTATTTCCCCTGTGCCATACCCCCAAGGATTCATTAATCCAGTTACTGTCTCTGTAGATTTACCTATCCTGGATTTCATATACAGGAAAACACTAAAAAACAAACACACCTAATAAGAATAACAAAGTAAAACATAAAAACCTCAATAGAAAAGAAAGCAGAAAATATTAAAAACTAGGATGAATTTCAATAGATCATAAGAGAGATCATATGATAGGGTATTAAATTTTAACTGCATCTGCAACAATCCATTTTCCAATGCATATTACATGTTAGCAAGGCTATTCACATCTCTGGTCCATGGTCAGGGCATTCACCAGGACTTAATCCACATTTATTTCTCCTTCACTTTTCCTTTTAAAAAAAAAGTTATTTTTTTTAAACATAGCTTTAAAATAGGTCAAAAGGGAGATCAAGTGATAATACGTTTAATCCTATGTCTGCCATACTTAACTTTACAAAGCTCTTATCTATTCGTATCCCTCAACTATGGTTGAAGGGGATTCACCAGAGGCTTAATCTATGTGGGGACTCTGCAAATCGATTTTGGGCTCCTATTGTCATCCATAGCCTTCTGCAAACCATGTGTTCACAATGTAAGCTCTCATGTCATTGCCTCCTTTAGATTTTATATTATTTACAATCCTTGGTTCACTGAGCCAAGTCTGTGCTTCTATGTGGACTTAATTGACATAGAACTGAGATGGATACTTGCTTGAAAACAAGTCTTTAAGCTAGTCTTTCTTATAGCCAGGTATAGAAACTATACCACCCTTGGCACCCATATCTTCCGTGATCTCTCCACGTGCTCGAGCATCAAGCAGGACCATGTCAAAAGAACTAATTGTTCTTAGATTGGGGCTAGAATTAAAAACACTTCATTGTTCTAAAGCGGATTTCCTCTCTACCACCCTCTCCTGTGAAGTTTCAAGTTCACATAACAACTATGAAGTTTGCGCTCCGGAGGCGCAAACTCCTCTGTGGTTCAAATTCACCAATCTCTCCGTGGGGGAGATCCCATGAAAACCCACAGCCTTCGAAAATCACAGGAGCAGTTCCACCCTGTCCTATAGGGTCGCTATGAGTTGGAATGACTCAATGACTGAGTTTGCTTTCGGAGGATTTCCCCTTCCAGGAAGATTGGCGTCAGCTGCTAGCCTTAGGTCACAGAAAACCCACCAGCCGCTCTCCTTGAGAAAAAACAGGACGGTGTGCTTCCATATGGATGCACAGCCTCGGAAACCTATGGGGCAGTGCTATTGTGCACTGCAGGGTCACTGCGACTACGAATCCACACAACGGCAGTGGGTTTGGAGTGGGGCACATTACCCGGATGCGGGGAGTTTTGGTGATGATTCTGAAACAACCCAGCTGGGGAATCGATCAGGCAACTTTTGGGTCACGGTCGGAAGGATGGAGAGAGGCGACGTCGCTGGGGGGCTGGCCAAGCGATCGGCGAGGAGGCCCCGTGTGAGAACCCGGCCTCCGCACAGCCGTGTCCCCCAGCTCTCGGGGTCCTGCGGGCTCCGAGCCTGGGCTCGCGATCGGCCCCCCACGCGCCAGGGCGGTGGCGTTGCCAGGTCACCGGAGAACGCCATCCAATTCCGCCCGTCACACGGGCCGCGTGACCGGCCCGAGCCAATCCAACGGAGCAGCGGGTGGTTCCAACCCGCCCCCCCACAGCCGCTTCCTGCTTCCGCCGCGCGCTCCGCTTCCGGTCCGAGCGCGCGGCCTGGGCGCCCTGGCAGCCGGCGGCGTCGCGCGCGCTCCGCGAGCTTGGGGCCGTCGCCGCCGCCGCCTCCGCGTCCCGAGCCGGCGCCCGGCCTGTCGCCGCGCGGTTCCTGCGCAGCATGGCCGCCCCGGACCTGTCGGCCAATCTCCAGGAGGAGGCCACCTGCGCCATCTGCCTCGACTACTTCACGGACCCCGTGATGACGGACTGCGGCCACAACTTCTGCCGCGAGTGCATCAGCCGCTGCTGGGGCCAGCCCGAGGGGCCGTACGCGTGCCCCGAGTGTCGCGAGCTGTCCCCGCAGAGGAACCTGCGGCCCAACCGGCCTCTCGCCAAGATGGCCGAGATGGCGCGGCGCCTGCACCCGCCGTCCCCCGTCCCGCAGGGCGTGTGCGCCGCGCACCGGGAGCCGCTGGCGGCGTTCTGCGGCGAAGAGCTGCGGCTGCTGTGCGCCTCCTGCGAGCGCTCGCGCGAGCACTGGGCCCACTGCGTGCGCCCGCTGCAGGAGGCGGCCGACGACCTCAAGGTGGGCACCCCCGGGCGCTGCGCCGGCGGGGTTCGGGCAGGGCCCCGGCGCGCTGGGCCGGGAGGAGGTAGCTGTGTGTGAGGTGGCCGACCCTCGTGGCTTGGACCCACCCTTTCCAGGAAGACGGGAGGCCTTTCTGAGTCGGAGCGTGGGAGCCAGTCCGGGACGTGTGTAGACCTGCACCCCTCTAACTTCGTCCCTGCCTGTGGAGGTTTGGGCGAGTGGTGGGGAGGCAGAGCCATGAGCTGCTGCTGAGCTCCCGGCCCCAAAAGACGGCGGAAAGAGGTAGAGGCCTGGGTCGGAATTACCTTGCTGGGTACGGTGCCAGGGGCCACCTCTTGCCTTGGAACGCGGTGGCGCCGACCCACTAAGTTGCACTTGGTTTTGTCCTCCAGTGATGCCTTTCCTGAAACCCAACCACACACCGGCAGTGAAGAGCCTCGGGGCCACACTGCTCACCTTGGCCCGGGCTGGCGGCCACCCAGGTCTCCTCACTCACCTGCTGGCCGGTTTCTTTTTGGAACCCAGGGTGTTGCATACACCAGTAGTATTTCTCAACTGGCTTTAAACAAATTTGCATTTTACGCCCTGGCCAAATGTGTATGCATGTTAGAAAAAAGAAAAACTGACCCAACTCGCTGCCATTGAACCAATTCCGACTCACGGAGACCCTAGGACTGGGTGGCCTGGCCCCTGTAAGTGTCTGAAACTCTAATCCTCATCTTTCTCCTGTGGAGCATCTCTGGGTTCAGAACTGACATCCTGGGCTTTTAGCAGCCCAGCATATAACCAGTATCCCACTAGGGCATATTAAAGGGTGCCCTAAATACGGGGTTTAACTTAATATTAAAATTAAGAATTAGCTAAAGCCCAATCACTACCAAAGGACAGTTTCTGAGGTGCAATAATGAATTTGTTATCCCCTGGCCCCGTGTTCGGGCTGTGAAGGTTGTTTAAAATCCTTGTAAGTGGGTGGGTCAGGCTGTGAAGCCTAAAGAGTACTGAGGTATAGCAGCACACAAGAATGTCACACACCCTAAGTGTCAGCACAGTCTTAACCCTGTCACCAAGCTCCCCAAAGTCACCACCCCCACCCCAGAGGCTCTCCACAGACCTCCTGGGGCAAACAAATCCCATTAAATAATCCTTGACCCTCGTTGTTGTTGTTGTTGTTTTGTAAAGTCGGGGGTTCTTTTTACCTGCCACCCACTGACAGTTTTTGGGGGGAAAGCTGCATTCTGCATGGATTGTTTTTCACAGAGCCCAGAAAGAGCTACCTCCCTGGTGGCATCTGTGATCTCTGCTGAACAGGTGCTGAGGAGTCCCTGGCAATATCTGACCTCCCAGGAAGGGCTGTTCCAGCTGCTTGGCTCTGTCCTGGCATCACAGTTCAGACAGGTTCCCACTGTGGCGAAGCAGGAAATTGCCAGGGGGACCCAGTGTGTGATCAGTTAGAAAGGAAACAGCCGTGGGAAGCAGAAGTTTTCGTGGGCTGCATGGACAGGTGGGAAGACAGTCTCCAAGCTGGGATTCGCAGGACAGTCCAGGTCAGAGGAGAAAAGAAAAGAAAGTCTTGCTTTCTGACCCATAAGGTCTCCACTGTGTCAGATATATTCAGATAGCTTATATTCTAGTCCTGTCCCCCTGCCTTTTTTTTTTAATTTTAGAAATACTGTTTATGATTCCTCAAATCGATTAATGGCCCACAAGAGGTGGTGACTATTGTTAGAGAAGCATTCCTGAGAAGTGGAGGCATGTAGGGGAGGACTTGGGAGACGAGGGTGTATGTGGAAGGGCGGAGGTAAGATGTCTGAGCCTGTATGTTCAAGAGGAGGCTGGCCTGAAGCTGGGCATCCAGCCATCTGAGAGCGAGGGAGCGGCTGAACTGAGGCAGCAGAGGCAAAAGGTAAGTGCAATTAGAAAACTTCTCATTTTTGAAAGACGTGTCAGTAGGCAGGGTGTGGTGTACTTAATGCCAGTACTTTGCAGGCTGCAGCCTGGGTACAGACTGGTCCTACCACCAGCTAGTGTGCAGAGTTCTGGAACCTCGTCTCCTTCTGGAACATGAGTAGAGATGAAAGTCAGACCCCTGGTGGCAGCTGACCAAGATCTGGGAGTGCTGGACATGGGAATGAACACTACTTCAGTCCCCAGGAGCATGGTCCTGTGACTCTGAAGACCCAGGTCTTTCTGTGATTTCCATAACAGATAAATGCATCATGTCAGGCTGAAACAAAATGGTCAGGCCCTTGTAGAAAACAGTGGAATCGTCAAGTCAAGCACATGTAGACCATGCTGCTTGCTCCTAGGACTTTCTCACCATCACCTTGTCCGAATGAAGGTTGGGAGAAAGGCAAGAATACCAATTGGCACCTGTGGCTGACTGTGATTAAGCTGAACCATGACAAGTGCAAGGCATGTTGACATGGCCAGGAATTTGGAGGGAAGAAGGCTGTCTGGGTGAGAGTGGCCCTCATGGAAAGTCATGTTCAGCTGGGGCCTGGGAACTGGCAAGACAGATGAGGCTGGTTGAACCAAGATAGGAGACAAGAGTTGAGAATGGTGACTTTGGCCAGCTATGGGGAGGTCACAAATGCAGAGGCGCGTGTGCTGACCTTGTCAATGATAGAGGACATCAGGCCTGGCTGGCATGGCATGGCCCTTGCTTGGGCAGGTAGGGGTAACAGTAAGATAATCTGGCCGAGATGGTGTAGGGCACCCGGGTTGAGAATGAGAAAGGTGTCCCATGTGGGAATGTTGGAAAGGCCAACATTAGACTCATTAGTGACTAAGCGGGAAGAACTGGGGTTCTCAGCCCATCATGAGAGGCTAATGCTGCCCTGACAGGGAGCCCTGGGGAGAGAAGGCTAATGTTGGAATGAGCACAGACAGTCATACAAACTGGAAGGTATCTTACTTCCCTTGTTCTGATAAATTTTATTTCCCCCCCATAACCTTGAGGGCATCACATTCTTTTCATGTAGTCCCTACGAGTGAGTTGCTGGGCCCGCTGTAGTTGAACAGTCCTGAGTAGCTTTCTCTTGAGCAGCACATGTAGGAGGTCTTGAGCCATACAGTAAAACCCAAGTAGGAAAGTACAGTGCCGTGAATTCTCTAAGGTGCCTCTTCTAGACTTAAACTCTGTAACTCCCACCAAACGGTCTTTTCCTGATGGGTCTGTGTAAGAGAAAGTGGGGAAAGCTACTGATAAGATACAGTTGTGAGTGCTTGTTAGTGCCCTTCTGTTGGGCATAAAGGGGACCATTTCAGAATCAAGAGGGGAGGCAATCACCACCAGCGAGAGCCAAGAGTGGAACATAGTCTCTGGGCCCCCAAGATCCCTACACAGTGAACCTCAACCCAAGAAAGCAGCTTTGGCATGAGAGAAATGCCAGAGGAGAAGCAGGAGCAGCACCGGGAGCCCTGGACTTCCCAGCCCACAGCGCAAGTAAAGTTGAATGCTTTGGGGCAGGAGTGTGGCTTGTGGGGTGGGGCGCCTCTGGAAACTTCATTTGGGGCAGCTCAGGCCACACCCTGGCGCTGTAGCCGAGTGCCTTCAGGTGGAGGCCTGTAGTAAAGCGGCCTACACCTTGGACATTGATTAACTAGAAGAACTTTGTAACGTGCCTGACTGAACTCTTCTGAACATTCCTCACATGAATTGTAACTTGTTAACTTCCCTAATAAACCCCTTAATCGTGAGCATTGTCTGAAAGTTCTATGTGGCCATGGCAATAAATTATAGAATTTAGGTGAAATAGTAGAGCAACAAAAGATGGGTGGGTCCTGGTGACTCCATGTGACCTGCTGCCTGCAATTGCTGGGCAGTGAGGCAAGGGTCTCTGTGTCAGTTGTCAATCACTGGGCATTTTTTCCCCACAGGGGAAGCTGGAGAAGTCCCTGGAGCACCTACGGAAGCAAATGGAAGATGCACTACTGTTCCAGGCCCAAGCAGAGGAGACCTGTGCCTTATGGCAGGCAGGTGGCTGAGCCTGTCCGGGCTCCTGAGATCCTAGGAGGGTGGGGTGGCCATGGGGTCTGTGGGACACTTCTTGCAGTGGAGGCCCCAGCATGGCATGCAAGCATCCATGCTCACTGAATCCTGGCTGTGCAAGGTCCCACCTCGGGGAACCAGACCTTCAGAACTCTGTTCATAACCCCAAACTTCGAAACACTGCTGTCAGATGTTGCTGTTAGTGCCATCGAGTCGATTCTGACTCAGGTGCTTGTAGCACAGAATGTGGTCACTGCTATGAACCCTTGGTTGCGGCCACTGTGTCAGTCCATCTCCTTGACGGTCTTCCGCATTTTCGCTGACTTGCAACTTAAGTATGATGTCCTTCCTCAAAGGCTGGTTTCTCCAAAGCACGTGAAATGAAGTCTTGCCATCCTCGCTTTTAGGAGCATTCTGGCTCTACTTCTAACACATTCTTCTTTCCTGAAGTCCACAGTATATTTAATATTCATCACCAGCACCATAATTCAAGGCATCAATTCTTTGGTCTTTCTTAATCATTGTCCCTCTTTAAGTGAATAACAGGCCATTGAAAAGATCAGGGCTGGGTTCAGAGAAGCTGTCTTTAAAGCGACAGCTTAGCTTTTTAACATGTGAAGTCTTTCACCTTTATTGAATGCAGCACTTGTTTGATTTTGACTGCTGCTTTCATGGGCATTGATTATGGATCCCAGTTTTCATCTGAAAACCTTGCTGAGTTCAGTCATTTCTCTGTTTTGTCCTGACGTTCCTTTTGGCTCCAGGTGTGAGGATTTTTCTTTATGTTGTGAAATTCATACTGAAGGTTGTCACCACTCTTCATCAGTAATTGCTTCAAGCCCTCTTCACATTCAGCAAGCTCGATTGTGTCATCTATCACAGGCTGTTCATGAGTTTTCCCCACTCCTGATGCCATGTTTTCTACCCTATAGTCCAGCTCTGTGTATTGTTTTCTGCAACATACTGATGACAGGATAGAGGACACACGGACACACACATTTCCTGATTTGAAACTTCACATTATCCCCACTTGAGTCACTGCTTCATGATCTGTGTACCGCTTCCACTTGAGCACAATGAAGTGTTCTGGAATTCCCGTTCTTTGTATTAGTCTTAATGTGTTAGGAGCCACACAGTGGGATGGTTTTACCTCATCAAAACACAGGTAAACATCTCTGTGTTCTCTGCTTTCAGTCAAAATTGTTCTGACTGTGGGGACTCCTTCAGTCCATGTCCTCTCCCTGTTGATGTACTGTTGCAACCATTTTTAATTGTCTTCCACAAAACTTTGCGTGTATGTGCTATTAATAATATGGTTCTCTAATTCCCTCACTCTGTTGAGCATCTTTGTTTGGAAGGGGTACCAATATGGTTGTCTTTGAGAAAGTTAGCCAGGAAACTGCTGTGTTAGTCCAGGTAGACTGGAGAAACAAATCCTTAGAAACTCATGTGTATAAGAGTTTTAAATAAAGGGTAATTGTACATTAAGAAAGCATCCCAACCCAGTCCAGTTCAAGCCCATAAGTTTGATATTAGCCCATATGTCCGATACCAATCTATGAAGTCCTCTTCAGACTCACAAAACACATGCAATGACACCAAATGCAGGATGATCACAGGCCAGTGGGGAGAAAGTCTTTGGATCCAGTGTCATTGTAAGCATCTAAAGCGCTGGCAGGGGTCTCTACATGGCTTCTCTGGCTTCAAGTCTGGCTGCATCAGGGTAGGTTCGTGTGGCTTCTCAGGGATGCCTCTCAGGATGTCAGCCTTGTCAGCATAGCATCTTCAAGGGAATCAGTAGAGAGAGTGTATCTTGCCTCCCAAGAGGAAACATAGCCGTTCTCAGACTTCTGAGGCCATACCCACACAGGTCTCATTGGCTATCTCCGTATTAACAGGCTGGACTCCACCCGTACACTCTGAATCCTCAAAATGACACCAGATTATGTAACTACCACAGCCGTCTTCCAAATGTCTTGGGAGAGAGAAGTGAGTAGTGATGAATGCATTTGTTGAAACATCCCAGTTAGCATTGTGCCATCCTGGAGCCTGCTCTTTCAGTAATGCCTTCAGTGCAGCTTTTGCTTCCTCCTTCCCTCTTGATCATGCTGCCTCTTCAAATGCTTGAATGTCGACCGCGTACTTTTAGTACAGTGACTCTGATTTCTTCCGGTTTCTTTTCATTCTTCCTCGATGTTCAATACTGTGCCCATAGAATCCTTCCACACTGCTACGTGAGCCTTGACTTCAAATCTCTCGGCTCAAGAAGTACCAAACGTGCTGGTCCCCTTCGGTTGTCTAATTCCAGTCTTGGCACACTTCAGTGCTTGACTTTGTTATCACCCTTTGAAACCTTCCGTTCCTTTATGTCATCATTTCTTTCATTCACTTCAGCTGCCCTGCCATCAGATAGGCACATCCTGCTCTCCACACTTGCTGCTGAGCCATCTCTCTTCAGGAGCTGAAGAGAGCCAAAGATTTAATACAGTGATGATGCCCCTCGCTGTATGAATTTTTCTACTCCCTGTCCAGAATTAAGGAATTCCTATTCTGAGTGCCTACCCTGGCCTATAGCAACTATGTAGATTTGGATGTTGAGGGAAGTGTGTGTGTTTCTGCTCTGATGAGTGACGTGTGTGGGGAAGGGGCATTGTGCCTGTCTGATGAGGGGTGTGTGTCACCTGTGCTGCTAGGCTGGGCAGTGCTGAGTGCTTACTTTGAGGGAGGGGGAGATGAGGAAGTGGCATGTCCCTGAGTCTCAGCTGTCCTCCCACCTGCAGAAGATGGTTGAGAGCCAACGGCAGAACGTCCTGACAGAGTTTGAGCGGCTCCGTCGCTTCCTGGTGGAAGAGGAGCAGCAGCTGCTGCAGAAGCTGGAGGAGGAGGAGCTGGAGGTGCTGCCCCGGCTGCGGGAGAATGCTGCCAGGCTGGTGCAGCAGAGTGCCGCCCTCGGAGCGCTCATCTCTGACTTGGAGGGCCGCTGCCAGCTGCCTGCGCTGGGGCTGCTGCAGGTTAGCTACCTGGTGGGGCCACTAGGGGTGGGATGGGTGGGCAAAGAGGGAGCCCAGCGCACCTACCAATCTTCTGCCCATCCCTCTCTGGGTGAGCCTGGCTACTCGGGGGGCAGCAGCAGGGCGAAAGGACACCTCAGCAAGCAGGGTGCTGGGCAGGAGGATGCTCTTTTTGTTGAAAGGCAGTACATGGGAAAGTGCGGTGAGAGTTAGCAGGAGGAGGGCACAGCTCCCTGCCCAGGCTCTAGACACCATGCACACCTGCCAGGGCCTGTCCTCTGTAAAATGAAGGGGACAAAAGCTAGAACAAGTGTCCCAGCCATTTTGCCACCAAAAGTCCTTGAGCTAAAAAAAGGGAAAATTTGTTTTTTAGACTCAATCAAATAGCATGTATTAAGTCACACAGATTGATTCTTAGCTTATCCTCATGTTTGTCTGTTTTTCCAAAACCATTTTATCAGGAGCTCTTCCAAGCATGCCACCCCATTGTTCGCTCACATCAAGTACAACTGCTGCCACACTGTTTCAGAACATTTGCCGCCTTCTCGAACAGGATGATCAGCTCCTGTCCCCCACAGGAACCCTTAATCTATTTATTGGCTATAGGTTCATTACCCGGGGTTATCTTCATGTTTTCTTATTCTAATCAGAGACAAATGTGGTCACTATTTATGGTAATCCACTGGCATCGAGTTGATTTCAATTCGTGGTCACCCTACAGGACAGAATAGAACTGCTCCGGGTTTCCAAGGCTATCAATCTCTACAGGTGTACACAGCCTCCTCTTTCTCCCATGGAGAGAGTGGCTGATGGCTTCAAACTACTGGCCTGTGGTTAGCAGCTGGTGCTTAACCCATTGTGCCACTGGGGTGCCTCCTGTCTACATTGTGTTCTATGGTGCAGCCTGGGGCTGAGGGTGGAGGCATGTGGTATATTTAGGTTTGGAACATCCCTCCAGGGCCTCATTAGAGACTGGCTGGGCTGCGTGGTAGGGGACACAGGTTTCTAGGGTCTCGGTGGATCACCACTGGGGAGTACACCAACTTAAGGTTTGGGACCATAGGGCCTGAGACACTAAGGAGGGAGGCAGATGCGGGGAGAGGAGAGGAGGTCGTCCCCGCTCCCCTACATTTTCCTTAAGAGTGCTGGGGAAAGGAGGCCAGAAGGCAGGCCTGGAAACATCTATGGGCTTCCCCTCCTGCTCACACCACATTCCTCCCATCTTCCATGACCCACAAGCTAGTCTGCCCATGCCCCTCTGGGCCTTGCCATGCCTGAGGCTCTTTATTGCTTGCTTACACAGCCCGTGCTCAGGGCCCGCCAGGCCAGTCTCTGCAAGTGGTCTCTGTTCCCCAGCCCTGCTTATGCAACACCAGCGTCTCTGTGTGCCCTTGGCCACTTCTCTGCTCTGCCCTGTGGGGCTTGCTCCCCCGCAGCACTTGGGCTTTCTCTGGCAGTACCTTCCCTAGCCCCCACCCTCCAAAGCCAAAATCTTAGGACCACCTCCTTCCATGTAGCCTCTGGGAGGTGAGGGGACAATAAAGACGGGCTTGTCCTGCCAGCAGGCCTGTCATCTCAATACCTTGGTCTTCCCACCTCTAGAATGTGCGTGGGTCTGCACTTCACAGGCTGCGATGAGGACTGAGTGAGTGAATTGTGCTGCAAGCTCCAAGCCCAGGGCCCAGTGCGTAGTAGGGGCTTTATGAGTCTGTCACTCTCAGTACTTGGGCCCTGACTGGCCTCTGCACAGGCAGGTGCAGTGAGTGTCTTGGCATTGTTCTGTGCTGGTGCTCTGTGGGTACGAGGCTCCACCTCGAGCAGCTCCGACACTCAGGCTGGGGAAGGTTGGGTGGATGGCGGGGGAGGATTCGGCGATATGGGTGTGGAGAGGGTGCCCGCTGCCCCGCCTCTGCAAAGTCTTCAGAGCAGAGCCAGTGTTTCCGGGAACAAAGGAGGCTTCCCAACTGCTGCCCCTAAGAGGTCAAACGATCCACCAGATGGTTTTTAGCATGGAGAACAGAGTGGAGGACCCCCATGAAGGTGTCCCCCCTCAATACACGCTCCCTGGAACCATCTCCAATTACTGTGTCTGAGCAGAGACCTAGGAACTCTGTGGGCCAGCCATGCTCAGAACAGTCCCAGGGCAGCTTTCGGATCCATCTGTGACGCTGGTGCCCAGAGCTTGGAGGGATCCGAGAGAGGGACCAGGGACCAACTGGGTATCAGGGAAGGACTTGGGACTGGGTGCTGGTGGCACTGACTGCCGCGTGTATCTTCTCCCACAGGACATCAGAGATGCCCTGAACAGGTACGAGTCCTTCTGCACCCCCCTGGGGAGGCGGGCTGGGTGGGGGTAGGGGCTTCGCTGCGGCGGGTGACATCTGCACTTTCCCACCAGGATCCAGGATGTAAAACTGCAGCCACCGGAAGTGGTGCCCATGGAGCTGAGGACTGTGTGCAAGGTCCCTGGGCTGGTGGAGACCCTGCAGAGATTCCGAGGTAGGTGCAGTGGGCTCCTGGCTCTGATCAGGCTTCTGCCCAGAAGCCAGTGTGAGGAAGAACAGAGTGGGGCCCTGTAGCCAGGCCAATGCTGCTTGTTGCACACAGGGCTATAGACTGGCAGGGATCCCAGGCCAGCTAGTAGCACACCACGGCAACCCCTCACTGGTCTGAGGTGGCAGGGTGTGGGTATCCAGCAGAAAGCCTGTCCTTAGTCTTTCTCGCTGACTGAGTGGTCAGTTCTTGCCAGGTAGAGGTGAAGGGTAGTAGAAAGCACAGTTTCTTGGGCAGGAAGCGGGGGCAAACCCGGGTCTTCCACATCCCACTGACATCCATGGTCTGTCCATTTTCTCCCTGGAGCCTCTGAACAGTTGCCCCTGGTCACTGCTGAGGGAATGCCGCTGGGCTTCACTCCCTGAAAGGGTGAGACTCACAAGTAGTCGGGACTCTTGTTCTTACACCGAGTTACAGCTAAACATGGTTGGGGGCATCTTTTTTCCCCAGGAGAGTGAAGGGGAAGGGCTGGGCTCTCTGGGAGACTCCTCCTCGGCCACAGTCCATTTGCACAGACCTGGAAAGAGCTGGTGTAGGCTGCCTGCTCAGGCTCATGGAGAGGGCAAGGGCAGCTTTTCCGTGTCATTGCCGTAGTGTCCATGCTCAGACATGCTGAGGTCATCTGAGCCTCTCTCTGTAGGGGATGTGACTCTGGACCCAGACACTGCGAACCCTGAACTGGTGCTATCCGAGGACCGGAGGAGCGTGCGTCGGGGCAACCTGCGGCAGGCGCTGCCCGACAACCCCGAAAGGTTCGACCCAGGCCCCTGCGTGCTGGGCCACTCTCGGTTCACTACAGGACGCCATTACTGGGAGGTGGAAGTTGGGGAGCGGGCCAACTGGGCCCTGGGTGTGTGCAGAGAGAATGTTAACAGGAAGGAGACGGGGGAGCTGTCAGCCGGCAATGGCTTCTGGATCCTGGTCTTTCTGGGGAGCTATTACAACTCACCGGAACGGGCCTTTGTCCCCCTCCGGGACCCTCCCCGACGTGTGGGGATTTTTCTGGACTATGAAGCTGGACATCTCTCTTTCTACAGCACAACCGATGGGTCACTCTTGTTTATCTTTCCTGAGACCTCCTTCTCTGGGACGCTCCGGCCCCTCTTCTCACCTCTGTCCAGCAGCCCCTCCCCTCTGACCATCTGCTGGGGGAAAGGTGGGCTGGGGGAGGCAGTAGTTCCCTAATGGCGTGCGCGGCACCTGGCCATCTGCAGTCCTGTGTGTGTGTGCAGCGCCTCGTGGGAGCTTCGCCTCGCCTCTCAGCCCCACACTGTTGTCTTCTGGCTCCTTGGAACAGTTTGGAGGTGGGATCATGTTCTTTGCACCAATGGGAGAATCTCCTAGCACTTCTCCAAGATGTGTGTGGGGGTGGGCAGGCAAGGCCTTGATCCTTCCCTTCAGACTTTGCAGATACTTGGGCCTGAGACATCATCCACCTGTATTTAACAGCAAGACACTCAACCTGGTCTGTGAGCGGGATCGTCCTAACAAGCATCCCTGCCATACAGGATCCCTGCCATTCAGGGCCGACAGCTCTTACCAACATCCTCCTCGGGTCAGGCCTGTGGCCCCACAGGAGCCTCACCAGCACCCTGGCTGGGCCACCTGGAATGCTGGGGGCATCAGGGCCTCCAGAAGCTGCTCTCCTGGCATCTTCAGGGTTAGAGTTCTACTTACTGAGAGCCCTACCCTCTAGAATGCCCCCAAGTCCACTAGCCAATCTCGGGGCTTTGTTACAAGAGGGTTGGTAAGAATCCTTCCCAGCCCTGACTGTGATGATGGTACAGCAGTTGGAGTCTTCAGGGAAGAATTAGCTGGGAAAACCAAAGAGCAGAAGGAAATAGGTGAAGTCCTTGAACAAAGGAGCTGACTCACAGAGTTAAAGGCAAGCACCCGTTCAAGCGGAGTGCTCACACTTGGAATGTGCAGGCCATGTGGATGCCTCTGGCCCCATGTACACAGGCTCCCCTGTGGTAGGCCTAGGAGGTCCACAGGGAAGATCAGGATCCGGAGAGTTGATTTCACACGAGGGCTTCCACACTTGGCGTTTGGGGACTGCCTGAGCATGCCTCTGAACTTTGAGAAAGGTGGCCTTGCTGTGCCCCAGCACATTCCTTGGTTGCAACCATCGGGTGCCAATGGCATCCTGGTGATCCAAGCCCCGACGCCTTCCCTCCACCTCCCCTGTTAGGTTTCATCACCAGCTGTGACCTTGGGGAGAGGCTTTCTCTGAACCCCGTGGGGTTCCCCTGATGATAAAGTGGGATGTATTGGATAGCTATTGATTTTGCAGGCCATGGTGACTACATGAGCTAATGCTCTCTGTTCAGAAACTGTCAGCTGCTATTTCTAGGAAACGTGGCTTGAGCCAGGTTGGAGCTTGGCGACGGCTCCAATACAGAGTACAAACTCACTGAACCCTCCCTCCACCCAGGGCCCTCCTCTGCCCAGTCCCCTCCCTGGAGGAGGAAGAGTGGCTGCCTAGAGCCCTGAGGCATACAGGCAGACAGAAACTACAGTTGTCTCTGCTATGAGGTGTGGGGTTTCCTTACCCTTAGCTTCTCTTTTTATCCTCTATTTTATTTATTGTAAGAACAGCGTTCTGACGTGAAATAAATTTTACCATTTGCCTGTGGGCGTGTCCACTGTTTTATCCCCTCATTAAGTAACGGGACTACAGGGTGTCCATGGGAGGGCTGGCCTGGGGCAGGTGATGACAAGGCAAGGAAAGGGGGAGGCACAGTTCAAGTTCAGTGCAGAAACACCACACAAAACATAGATCATCTTGGATCTTTTGCTCAATATGTGCAGTCATTTCATATAGTTAACACAAAAATATAAAGTATTTTGTAACTACATACATTTCCCATATTCCATTGTATTTAATAGCTACTTTTTTCATTTAATTGATAGTTTATTTACTACTCACACTCCCATTCTCTCCCTGCCCACCCTCCCAATGGGTTTTCTTTTGTGATTATTTCTAATACCACTTTGAAGATCTACCCTCAATTCCTTTGAATCACATATTTCCTCCATTGAGCATTTTTAGGACTTAAATGACTACAAGGGGGCTCCAAAAAGTTTGTGGAAAAATTCACTAACTTTTTGAAGCCCCTCATATTGCTATATAATTTCCCCAAGAGATTGGGTCTGTCTCTTCCTGAGAACTGATAGCCATGTTGATGCTGTCTAGATGACCACTCTAGAACTTTAAAGGCAACCACCAATCACCCAGACAGTATGACAGCTTCACAGACACAATTGCCCCAACAGCACCAGTTTTAGAGAGGGGTTAATAGGGGTCCTAAGTAGCCATCAAGCTCAGAAGCAACAAAGCCCACATGGAAGAAGCACACCAGCCTATGCAACCACGAGGTGT